GTCTTAATGGCCTCAGAAAAGTCGCAGTTGGAAAAACATGTGTTGAGTATACCCATCAACCGACTACATCTACACGCAGTGATGGTGATATGGCTATAGGTTGGAAAATAGCTATGTCCTGTCAAACTTTGGCATGGCATCAGTCCATGAGGGCACTAGCTGTTGGACTGAGCCATGTAGGGACGTCCAAACTACCTGTTTCGGGTCCATGTGATTCTCATAACTGATGGTAAAATACCTAAAATGAAATGAATTGGAAGTGTTCGTGATGGAGCCGATGTTTTCATTTTGTCTTCCTTTAGATCCTAAGTTTCGAACCTCCTCATGAACTTTTCTCCATTTTCTCAACGATTTATACTTTCTTGAATTCTTTCTTGGATGCCTAAAATTTTTTAATACCATCAGTACTGCTGCTATCCGTACTACTCTGGGATTTTCTATGAAAATTTCATCTCACTGTGCTAATGAGGACTTAAAACTGAAGCAATATACAAGCTCCAGTTGTGCACCCTAGGTCTTTTTGAGTCAGAAGACTGTTTTGGTTACTCGGAGATATTTGCGTATGTTGTTCTACAATAGATCGTAATTGGTTAAATTTAAGCCTTCATTCAGGGTGATAGGACAACAAAAGCAGTCAATCGTAAAAACGAGTTTAAAATACCTGTCCATGCCCAATACGTTTCAAACCATGAGAGCATGGCCAGTTCATCGAAAATTAATTCAATCAATGCGATACAACAACAGAAATTCATCTTGATCTTTAATAAGCAATATAATCATAAAACAAGAATTTCACATAAGGTTCAATATAATTAACCGATAACCTTTGATTCTTTTGCAAGTCGATTCTTGTTGACCAACTACGTCAATGAAAGCTGAGAAACTGACTGTATTCTTTTTTTTTTTAAAGAAACCTAAGTATTGTTTGTGCAGAAAAGCGCCACAGATCTTTAATACATAAAGTCGGTACACTTTGAAGCACTGATATGTATCCCTCTTTTTAGCATAGTTTTCCATGTTCCACTAAAACACTTGTTAATTTTATTAGCAGTTTTGTTCTCAACCGTAGTTGCTAGCTTGATATGACAGCCTGGCTTGCCTATCGTGATGACCCTACCGAGCTATATTGCCTAAAACATTTGTTCCTGTAGGTTCTACCATGCCAAGCAGGTATGTTGGAGAACGGTGAGACTAAAGGCAGCAACTAAAAGTCTAAGTACGGAGTCGTACTACTGACTGTAGGAGGGTATGACAGCAGTGAGGTGTTTTCTTCGGATAACTAGCATCTGCAACAATGCTGCCTTCTCACGATGGGAGGCAGGAGTTAGAAAAGGTCCACTCTGAAAATATCACACCTCACCTTATCCCACGGATTTCCGTCTCTAGCTATGAGGCCTTTTAAAGAATGGAGCTAACACGTTACAAACTTCCCACAAAAAGGCTGTGCGCGACTGGCCCCAAGCGGTCGTCACTTGTGCTCTGAGATTACACTATCAGGTCTTCAAGACTGACGCTAATTCTATTCCTTTTATAAGTTCTTCAATAAATATCCTTCCATAGTGTCGGCAGCTGGGAAGTGACATCCGCCCTCATATCCTAATTGGTTGTGATCCGCGAGACGAAAGTCACCGATGGTTAGAGACCTTGAACGACATGGCTCACAATCGTTTGCACTGGCGCAAGTGCATCCATTCGTTGTGCTTTCTCAAATCCTAATCTTCTGGATTCGTCAGCACCTCTACCTTTGTCTTTCTAACTTGATCTCACTGAACTATACTTCTTAAATAGTATCTTCAAACCCTAGTCTTCTTCATTACCATTAATACCTCTACTATCTTTATCACTATGGGATTTGATTTGACATTTGCGTCTCTGTGCTGATGTGGTATGGCAACCTGAACCTATGTACATACGTACTAAGTTCTACGTTGCAACTGACTGACTGACTGACTCATACCCTAAAAGCACATGAGATCAACTTGCTCACAATCATATCGTTCCTGCACCTCTTGATAACTCTCTTGTCTTCACAACAACTGGCGACATGAACTGGTGTACTTACGTACGAAGTTCTACGTTGCAACTGACTGACTGACTGACAACTAACTATTCTCTTATACCTTTATCATTTCACGCTGCCAATGCTAACGATTTGAGTACACAAAATGTTATTCTTGGTCTCCTGAAACCCTGCGCTCTACTACCTGTTGGAGCTTTTATTATACGGACTCACTAACAAATAGGACAACAAGCTTTCGGAGCTAGGACTTAAGGATCTTGTGCTATCGATTTATGCTGCGTCTCTGTTGAGGACGATGATGCAAGTCGACCCCAGGAACGTACGCTATTAAAAAGTGGAGTGTTGAGGACGTTAGATCCCCAGAACTCACTTGGAAAAGGTCCCAAGCTGTTATTTATTTCTGAAATTTTGAGTTTGTTATGTTTTCGCGCATAAGTCGCTTAGTTGACATTCAGCTTACATTTCCTACTCGGAAAATCTTTGACTGTCATTAGTCGATGGATTACTTTAGTATGCTATTTTGTGGATCTCCCAGGGGCGTTGCTATCATTGTATAGATAAGTTTGATTTGTGTGTTTAGTAACCTCGTATTTTCTGGGTGCTTGTAGAATACACTTTGTACGGCTTATTAAGTCTTCTTGATATAGTTATCCGGGCCTGGGACAACGGGTTAAAATAGCCAATCGTGTCACTGGGTCATTACTCGAGTAAGGTGAACTCGTAATAGCATTCGAGTATATCAATTGGCAAGCATATCAGTTTTTGAATCGCGCATACAAGATCTGAGTTGAATCATTCATATAACTTTATATTGTCGAAGTAAAGAACCGTTGTGATTTTCACTTTGTGCATCTGGAAGCTCCATTGCCACTTCCCACGACCTCGCTGGTGCAGGTATAACACTGATTTCTAAGCGTAAACTAGGTTTCTTAAACTGGATTCCAGTAGACGATGGCTTGTGAGCTGTCCAACTAAACAGAGCAGTAAGAACACAGAAAGATAGTGATCCTCGCCGTCATCTTTTCGCTGTCTCTGACTACACTCTGGTTGATTGCAGTTTGGATGAGGTAAGATAAATTTTACGAAAAGCCTTCTAGACGCTTTTTTGTAATAGCTGGCGATTTTCGTGCTCAAATAGGCAGACCAAGTGAAACTGAAAGACACCTGGCACGATGTTATGATGTCGAGGCTCATGAAACGGATGTTGGCGACCTTCTGCTGCAGCAGTACTCAAGTAGCCGCCTGTGTCTGGCGAACACCAACTTTAGGTATAAAGATGAACATCTTTCGACATGGCGATTAATAAGTTGACTGGGGTTTTCAATGTACACCAGCAGTTGATAATAATTGATGAAGCATTTTATCCTTTACATAGACTAGATAGAATGTGATTAGTTGTGTAATTAAGGTCGCATGTTTCATCCTATTTTAGTCTCGTCCAAACCATTCCAAGTTGAATTAACTCTTGTTCCTTATTAATTTATAATTATCGAAATCCCCATTAGTTTATTAGTATATCGGGATTGCTTTGTATATTCAGTGACACTGTGATCTTGACTCTTTGTAATCATAACTATGAATATATCCCATTCACTTTCAGTTATCCTTATAAATGGAAACAAGAAAACAGTGCCAAGTTGATATCCAGCTGTATTTCGGATTTGCATTATGAACTTTTGCAGGTATTTTTCCTTTCTCGTGGTTTATTTCTCAGAGCAGAATCAAATATCTTTAGAGTTACGTATTATAACTGGTTATGTTATTATTTATTGTCTATTGACTTCGGTGTTTAGTGAGTTATTTATACGGCTGTCGGAAAATATAATACTTCTCATAAATTTATTTGAAAGTATTCATAATTAGGTGTTTAAAAACATTTCTTTAAAATATTTAAGTAACTCGTATATAGTCGAACTTGGTTCCATGAAACGGTTTCTCAATATTTGATTGTCAAGGACAGCATGAGTTTTTTCATAAACTCCTATGCACCTCACACTTTATCATCGTGAATAGAATACCAATCGACAGGCGGACGCAATAACTAAGTGATAGCTACTCACGAATTCATATACTTGACTTATATCCTTGAATAGTTAGAAATCGAAAACAAGGCCACTGGAATGATGAATGGGTTTTCTATATAATAAGATGATATGCTTATCTACAAAGTATGTACATAAAGTCGACATAAAATGAAATGGGCGAATGGAGGAAATTAACTTGGAGGTCGTTTATTCTCTAAGTAATGAAGACTTGAAGGTTAGGCCCTATCTTTGGGCATCGTATCAGTGAGACTAAGTTTATTTCCTTCAAAAATAATCACTTTAGTCAAAATGTTTATGGACAACATTCGTGTTTTTAAGTAACTGTGCTTTCCCAAACCTTCTCCATATGACGGCTGTTTTGTGCCCCCTTCTAAGAAATTTTTACTCACTACTTTCATGTAGTCAGAATATTTCCACAATTGCAAGATACCGGTAAATTACAGAACTAGAAGTCTGTTGACGCGGTCAGACATCTTTCGGTTTCTAAGTCGATGGCAATCCTTCTGTCGCTTCCAAATATCTCTTTCGTAAGCAGTAATATCTCATAACTAAATCAAATCTTAGTTGTTTCAAGTCTGTTAATTATTTCTTATTTATTGTTTGACTGCATAAAACGACGGTTTAACTATTAAAGCATTTGACTTCTATTAACTAAGAAGCAGGTTTGAGCGACGTTTCATATTTGGTCTGGGATTCCCGGTATTATCACTTTCTGTATCTATCTATCCTTAGATATGTTCAGTGTTTTATTGGCTATTCTGCTGTCATTCAGTCTTGCAACACGACTACAACTTGGCATAATTAGGTTTCTTCTAAACTGTGTACTTTTATCCAAGTTAATTTATTTTTAAGCTTTCCATTTGCTGTTGTTTCATAAATTTATTTTGTTTTTACTATGTCCTAACACCGACCAATACATATATTTGATCTCTTAGCAACCAACATGCAACAAGAACGAGAAAATTGACACTTTACTTGACGGTTGGCGCAATAATATCTAGTCCCGAGAGAAAAGGAGGAAAGCAAGACTAGTGGTCACCAGTTCAAGATGGTTATAGTTCAGATGCTGATTTATATACTTACCGAACCGAACCGCACAGCGAACCAATAGCTTAACAGTGTTAACAAGGAGCGACATTAATGATGAGACAAAGTACTAGGCACACAATCGGTTCTAGTTTACGATGAAATGCTATAGCATTGATTTATGGTTCAGATAAAAGCTTGGGACTAGGATAATAAAAAAATAATACAGCCTAAATACCTAATAAATTTGCAGCATAATAAAAATCCTAGAAAAACAGCTTCCAAATCTTCTACCTCAATCAAATCGTCTTACAACAGCCATAGATTCCAATAATTCTTTCCCGCCTAATAATGCATTGGATGTGCTCGTTAAGTTTTCTTTTATGTTAATTTAGTTTGCTAGATTACTGTCGATATTTAATTTCATTACATACTCATTAGTGTCTGTCGGAACCTGCCAGTCTTGCATCTCATCGTCATAGTAGTGGAGTTTCCGGAGTATATGGATTTTCAACTTGGCTTCTTACATGTTCGCGAAAAATGGAATATACAAAAGAATTTTACTATTTGGAATCAATGATTACTCAAGTTCGTGAACAGTGCGACTTGATTAAATCTCTATCGAAACACGAATCTTCAGGGGATAAACAAATCGATCTTTTAGAACTAATGATCATTCGATTAGCAGAATTTATGCAAATTTGTTGGGTTAGTGGACGCATACGCAATCTAAGTTCTGGTAATTTTGTAAACATTTTAAATGATATTACTTTTATAATCCCTTTTCACTAAAAAAAACCCACGTTAATAATCGGTCCCAAATTTTAATATTGATTAAACGTAATAACGGGAAACATTGCGACATGCGTATTGCTATACTATACTTTTATCAAACACTGGTTTAGTACGAAAACAGTTACTATCTCCAACCTATACATCCAATTTATTTCTACCGGGTGAAATTTAGATTACGTAGAATAGACCTACATATCAACAACAATTTAACCACACTGTCCTAGGCCGTCTTTGGGAGTATTTTTACATTGAAAACGAGCTCTTAGTTCAGACAGTGGTAAGCCGTCGTCATCCTCTTGTTGTGTATCTGTGATACATTCACAGAAGCAGTATCCTTACATACCGTATCACTTCCATTTATTCTTTGAAGTTTAAATGAGTGGGATATCACACTATCCAGTTATATTATCTAATCAAAACGCTGGATTGAAATTTTTTGTGTATTTATCTTCACATTGCGCCTTTGAAGTAATAACTTGTTGCAGTAATTCAAAAGATTTTCTCGTATCTACTGTTTAGATCTGTGATTTTACAAATTTCTTTGATCTTTTTGGTCTTATTCAAAAAGATGAACTAATTTATTTCGTACTACAAATCGAAACATTTCCTCTGCTTGGTTTCGATAGTGTACCACAACGGTAGAATGTGATCTGGTTAAATATTTCTTGAAAAAAAACTATAGGTTTTAAACAACTTCGTTAACTTTTTCTACACAACCTGTTAACTTGATATTGTGTACCGTTTTTATAGACTAGTTTATCGTGTGCCAAAAACTTATTTTTAATTCCGATTTTTCTGTTTTAGATGAATTTTACAGACTACTTACTCCTTTAGAATGTCATAGTTGGATTGATCTTATTCTGACACGATTTAAAAGATAATTATCGCTCCTTATTTACCATGTACAGCGCGTTTTCTAATAAAACAATTAAATTATATTCAATGACTTTATATTTTCAGTCTCCAATACGAGATTTGTTTTCGTGGGCACTAATTAAAAACCTGTTTTACTCAAAATTTATTGCGACTAAAATTTTGTCGGCAACTGGATAACACTAACCCGTTGTAATGCATAATTGTTCCAAATGTGTCATGTTGAAGTTTATACGGAGTGTTGACAACATAATGTCTCATGCCAGATTAAGACAGTTTGTGTTTTCACACCTTAGTTACACAACTGTGGAAACAGCAGTGACACCCGATAGTAAGGTAAGGGATAAGCCGTAGATCTCCGTAGCATCTGCTGAACTGATATACGATATACGCTCGTAAACTCATCCCTCATGGCTCTGAACATGGCGAAGTGGGAAGTTAGCTTAAGCGCTGGCTGATAAAAAGCTTACGCAGTGATCGCGAACAGTGGTGGGTGGCGAAAGCGAGAGAGATGGAAAAGATAGAGGCGATGGGCAACAGTAGACAACTTTTCCGCCTTACAAAGGAAACCGGTTTTAGAAATCCATCTGTTAGCGAAACTATCTCAGAAAAGGATGGCTGTATCATCAAAGAGACAGGTATTAGGAATCCGACCGTAAGTAGGACTATCTCGGCAAAGAATGGCCGTATCGTTCATTTTTAACCCAGGTGATGAGATCGATGGGCACAACACTTCAGGGTGGCATTCGACTCTGTTGTTCGTGAGGTTCTGTGGCAGTATCTGTCATTAAAAAGAGTACCAGAGAAGTACATTAACCTCATACAGAATCTTTAATTGCACACCACCAATGGACTGACATCTTATGGCGAACTGTCATCGAAAGTAGTTAATTGGGATGGTGTCCATCAGGGCTGTCTACTCTTTTCATTCCTGTTTAACTTCGTCATAGTCATGCTCCTAGATATAACATCGTCTGACTTTTCAGGGGTGAACCTTCCAACATGAGACATGCTTGCTGAATTAGAGTGTGTCGATGACATTGTTCTATTTGATGAAGACGCTGACAAACTGCTGAGACGTATGTTTACCCTAAGCAACAATGCAAGCATGTTCAGGATGCGGTTTTCACCCTCGAAATGCAAAATGTTGCTTCATGATTGGGCGGCATCGGCGCCTGAACTAGTGACACGGAGTGAATTAATCGAGCATGTGGACCGCTGATGACCTGGAGACTGACGAAATCTCAGCACGGATACAGAAGGCTCGATTGGCTTTTGCCTGTTCGCGTCACTTATGACATAGGCGAGATGTCCGTTTGCAGACGAGAGGACGAGGGTACTGCGCAGCAGTTCGTTCCGTGCTACTTCATGGATGTGAAACATGGCCGGTGTTGAGGATATTCGTAGGTTGTTAGTATTCGATTATAGATGTCTCCGGAGCATTGCTCGTGTATTCTGAGACAACTGAGTAAGCAAAGCTGTTGTTCGGAAACGAGTACTAGGTAGGGATGACAAATCAAAAGATGAAGTAGTGAAACTTCATCAGTTGAGGTGGTTGGGACATGTGTTACGTATGCCTAACCACCGACTGCCGCGACGAGCTATGTTTTGTAGTGTAGGAGTAGGTTGGAAGAAAGCTAGGGGCGGCCAGACCAAAACATGGCAGAAATGCATGAAGTCACTGACAATTGGACTGAGTCATGTTGGTAGATGTAGACTACCTGTTTGGGGTCCGCGAGATGATAATCGTTGGTTAGAGACTTTGAGTGACATGGTTCAAAGTTGTTTGCAATGGTGCAGGTGCATTCACTCCTTGTGTTCTCTGAAATTCTAATCTGAATTCCTCGTCACCTTTCTGTTTCTAAATTTATTTCACTGTTTTATACTTATGGAATATTATCTTCGTACCGTGATCTTTCCGATTACTGCTAATACTTCTACTATCTCTACAACTATGGTGTTTGAACTGGGAATTGAGTCTTGGTGCTAACGTGGTACGGCAACTTAAGCGTATGTACGTAAGTACGAAGTTCTACGTTGTACCTGACTGACTGCTCAAAAACCGCTTTCTCAGCATCCTCAAGCAAAACTCTCATATGCGTATCTCTAATCGATAAGTGAATAGTTAGGAAGATCACTTTCTGGAAATTTACATGAAGAAAGTGCGATTTTTGGTTGTCTTTAATGTTTTAAAGTAGACGTAGATGTTGTTGCATTCTAATGAATAAAGTTCAAATGTGATAATACTAATCACAGTTTTTCATGTTGAATATAGAGATAGAAAGTTTTACCGGATGCCCAGATCGACGAAATCCGATTTCGCATTTAGGTCAAAGAATGCTAATTCTTTCGACTTGCAATTCATATCTGTAATTTAACACTCAATGAAGGATGTATGGTTGATTGAAGCATCTATGTGTGTATGCCTTAGATCATTCTTGTTTCTCAGGATACTTGAGGATAGGTTTACTTACGACTCTGTTATAGATTTTTGAATAATATAAAGTTTGCAGCAATCAAGGTAAGAAATAAGAGCAGACGTGGCAACGCGTGAATTAAGATATAGATATGCCTTAAGCACTCAACTTATTATCGGCGAAGTCTCTCGCATGTATGTGATTTGCAGTGAAACATTAACGAAATTAGATGGACTTAAATTGTGAAAGCCTGATGAATAAAGTGCTTTAATGTGACAATCCGAATAACAGGTCGTCGTAAGCTAAATCTCGACTATTGATATCTTGTAAAGAAACGGGACGAAAGGTTTTTTCAAGTTAATTCGTAATTTCCTGTAATTAACACATCTAACCTTAAAAATATTTTGTAAAGATTATGTGATATGTACAGCAATAAACGTTGAACCTAGGTTTTCTAGCTGGGATTTGTTAAGAAGGCGTACATACAAACCTGGTAAATTTTTCCGCGTTATCTAGCTTTGCAGTATTACCTGTTTTATTTCAGCTGTAAGATATCTAAAATCTGTTGGTCACTGTATGGTGTGAACGTCAAGTTTGTTCACCTAATTAGTTTGGGCTTGTAGAATTCCTATGCACTTTAATTAGATGTTAAATGGCTGAGTCTTTCTTAGAGGGAAGCCTAAGAAATCATCAGTTCTCTGAAGATTGAAGGTATGTGCACCTTGTTAACTAGTCTCTCTAGCACAAAACAGATCCAGGGTTTCTTATCGACTACCTCCAATCACCAGTCATCTCAATATGGGACATGCAATTTTCGGGTCACTCAGAATGCATTGTGAATAATCGGTAAAATCGGATCAACACTGAAGAACTAGATAAACATAATATTGTTCACAGATGTAACTGTATTATCTAAACTTGCATATCACACAATTTGCCGAAGCCAGTACTTAAGCCGAAACCAATAACAAACATATGTTCTGCATAAAACCCTGGAGATCTCGGGAATTCTGTTTGAAATTGAGGATAACAACCAATTAATATGAGGTTACTTAGGCATTTCCCGCAGTTCAGGAGGCGTTCATCGCTAAAATAAACTACATTTTGATCAAAACTGCTAGGGGAATCGACCATTAGGATTTTTGAAAGATGCTCAAGATGACTTAAAGTATCAGCAGTTTTTATTTATCACATGAACTAGGCCACATAATATTGGTGACTTGGATAAATAGGGTCATCTTAAAGTAATAGCCGAAATTCGGCTACTTTTTCTCACTGCGTATTTTGAAAGTCATCCCTTGCTGTCAAGTGAACGTAACATTTAAGAAATTGTAACTGCGAACCACTGAAATGACCTAACAGGCAGTACCAGTTATAAGGAATCGATAGAATCACATCACTAACCGTCTTCTGTGTTTATGTTGTATTTCGTGTATCACGATTTCTGACAAAGCAACATCTATTTTCGAACCTAGATCAGTCTAATATACTATGGTTGCAATTATGTATGACTAAGGTTTGCACTGAATTGTTAAGTCATTTGTTGGTTTAACCTAAAATGAGTTTTACATATAAAGTATCATCGTGTATGGTTTCTGCAACACTACACATGAAAGTTAGTGCTCTAGTTGTTATCCAAGGAAGTTAGTACACCAGAAACGTTAGATGGTTGTAATGGCTGAAAATCACCTGCGCAGTGTTTCACAAAGTTGTTCGCTATAGTAATGTGCAGTTGGTCGACACCGATTGATCGTACAAATGATGGTGTGTAGGCATCTAAACCGGAAATTGAAATCTGCAGGACCAAGATGCTTGTGATTGGGAAGTGCTACAAACTGGGTTTCACTTTTCCATAAATTAGATAGATAATAGCAGTTATCATGCTTGTTTCTAATCCCTGGCCATCCTTAAAGTATTTCCAATCTCATCGGCTCTGATGAGCTTTAGGTCCGGATGTAAAGCTCCGCTTTCGTTTCTCTAAGCTACATCACTTTTGATGCTCGTACTTTGGATTATCCAATCTAATTTGTTACTTCCCATGTTTCGTATTTCTAGCGTTCTTCTTTCTGCTACTCAAATTTTTACTCTCACCTTATTGAAACCTGTGGTTTTTCAACAGTGATAAGTACACATTCATCTCAAATCCTGCTTGTTGATGGCCAACCAGCTTGTTGTGAGGGTCATATAAACATCTCACTCTAGCACCTGTAAGAGCGATCCAGTCAAGTAAACGCATCAGGTGGGACTTTCTTGAAGGATCGTTTGAACTTATCAATTCATACAGTCTTTCCGCAAAGGCAACCACGGATTTTATTACTTTCAAAAGCATTGTCAAGATTATGTGACGGTAATATGTTTATCTACTTAAATGCCTCGTATTTGTTTTTTCGGATATATCCATCTATGTTAACGTTTCAGTAACATTAAATTTCGACGTAGGTCTGTCGTGAAATCTGAGTCTTGCAAAAGTCTGTTCATTCGGGATCCGATTCGGATGATTATGCTTAATTCTTGTTCCAGTTACATCTTAAATATATAAAAGATGCAATGGTGTTTATTTCTCTGAGATGCATGGTTTGTTCGAACGGAAATTCACCAAAATCGTCTACCTGGGTTGCAAACCTTCTCCAGCATCT